GGCACCCCCCCCCCCCCCCTACACAATTCTAGAGCAGGCCGGCTCCGCTCCGCGTTCACCGCCCCCACCCCGCCGTTTACACCAGCCCAGGGCGCCCCCAGCAGCGCTTAGCTCCGCCCCGCGGCGGCTCGGCGCGTCGTAGGCCGAGGGGCAGGGCCTCTGCTAGGCCAGCCCCGCCCGGCGCCGCCATGCCCAAGGTGGTGTCCCGCTCCGTGGTCTGCTCCGACACCCGGGACCGCGAGGAGTACGATGATGGAGAGAAGCCGCTGCACGTTTACTACTGTCTGTGCGGCCAGATGGTGCTGGTGCTGGGTGAGCCGGGGGAGGGGGTAGCTGGGCTGGGGCAGGGAAGGAGCAGCTGGGGTCTGGGGGAAAGGGGCAGGGACGAAGGGACCCCAGTCTTAGCTCGGTGGTGGTCTGCTCCGACACCCGGGACCGCGAGGAGTACGATGATGGAGAGAAGCCGCTGCACGTTTACTACTGTCTGTGCGGCCAGATGGTGCTGGTGCTGGGTGAGCCGGGGGAGGGGGTAGCTGGGCTGGGGCAGGGAAGGAGCAGCTGGGGTCTGGGGGAAAGGGGCAGGGACGAAGGGACCCCAGTCTTAGCTCGGTGGGTCCCTATAGATCCCTGAAGGCCAGAGTCTGGGATGGCAGCTGGGTGTGGGGTGTCTTTCTGTCGGTCAGTTTGTGGGGCACAGGTGGGCGGGGATGTTGGGCCTCCTTGAGGACCGGGAAGATTCCCACAGAATGTGCCTGTGATGCACCCGCTGAGCCAGCGTGCTCCCCCCCGACAGTCTGGTCCCTGGGAAAAATCCGAGCAGGAAGCTGATCTGCCTTTGGGCCTTTATTCCTGCCTCTGCCGTCTCTTCCTTCCTGGCCTTGGACATGTCACTTCCCCTGCATGTTAGTTTCCCATCTGCAAAGTGAGACAGATAAAGCTGCCTTAGATGCTTGGGGATGCTGTGAGGCTAAATTCTGAGGCTCTTGGAGTGTCAAGGGATGATAGCCTGCTGTGATCGTAGCAGAAGGAAGCAGGAGCTTCTTGCTCTTCCACTCATCTTTTACTAATTTCAGCCAGGCACTTCAGTTCTCTGGGCCTAATGCTTGTTCAGTGCTTAGGAATGGTCAAGTAAACTTATTGCTAAGTTTTGTCACCACTGTCCAGCATCACTCTGGGTCCAGCATCACTCTTGGCATTCAATGTTTCTTAAATTCTTGTGTTGGGTAGGGATGTGAATGTGTACCCAGTTAACCGATGAGCCTGGGCTCATTGGTTAACAAGCATGATTACATGCAGCTCCCACACACGCTGATGCGTCTGATACAGAGGCAACAGTGCTGGGTGGGGGCAGGCCTCCCCCTCCTGCCCACTCCTATGTTTCAGACAGAGGTAGCAGTGGGGGAGGAGGGGAAGGTGGCTCCATGGAAGCCTCTTTCTCCCCCCCCCCCATGTGTAAATTTGTAAGCACTGAAATTTCCATCAGTTACATATTTATCTAAATAAAAGCATTTTAGCATCCTTAGTGCTAGGAGCCTCCCTTTCTCCTTCTCTCCTCCCCTGTACTCTCTACCTGCTTAATTATGCTTGGTTATGATGAATCTGCAGCTGAGAAGAGGAAGAGATTGCTTAGTCCAGAGACCATCAAGTACCTTGGCTAAGTGGGTTGAAAGGAGAAGTTTTGGGCACTCTTCTGTGTCTGGACTTTGTTCAGATGGATTAATAAACCATCAAACATTTATGTCATAAGAAGATCATGTAGAAACCTGACAGTGGATCAGTGCTGTTGTCTGGCTGTTTCATAATGTTGGAGGATAATAAGCTAATGTGTGATGAAGGAAAGTCACTGAATATTCACCAAATGGAAAAAAATGACCCTTCAAAGTTTCTGTCTCTTCATCTCAGATGAGCACTCCTGAAACTCCCTCTCTCAGTAATGGGGCTGAAACTTCATTTTATAACAGCCTCTCCCTTCACTTCTGCAGACTGTCAGCTGGAAAAGCTGCCCATGAGGCCTCGAGACAGAGCTCGGGTGATTGATGCGGCCAAACATGCCCATAAATTCTGTAATACAGAGGAGGAGGAAAATGTGTATCTCAGAAGGTAGGAAATCTTTGTCCCCTGGCTCCCTTGCCAGTTGCTGTGACAGTTTCACTGTGCTTCTAATTTTTTGAATGAAAATAACTCCTACAACAGGTAACCTGACTACTATTAAATCTAAAGTTGTAACAGTGTCATTAGCTCAGTTATTGGTATTAAAAGATATAGTCAAATAGTTTAAGGTCCCACGTAAGCTACATGATAAGGAATGCCATCTAAATGCTAATTCTCTTCCCTGTTTACCAGAGGAAAAAAATAATTAAATTAAAAAAAAATACAACCTGGTCTTGATTTTTATGACCACAACAAAATCAGACATGAAGCCAAACTATCGAATGTGAAGTGAGCAGCTTCTAAGAAGATTTCTGATAAAAGGAGGCCATGGAGAGCCTTTTATAGCATGCTGGTGGTCACTGCAGTACAGAATTGACAGGCTAAAGTGCAGCCTAATTGGCAGAAAGGACTCTCTATTTTGTTTTCATCGCTTTGGATTTTAGGTAAATTGCAGCACTCCTGCTTTCTAATATTGCTAAACGTGACCCAGGGAACATTAATATTAAACATCTTATTATACACGTGTACACGGTCCCTTAGGGCATGCCACAAACTGACACACATTCTCTGACCCAAAGAATTTGTAGTCTCAGAGAGAGGATTAAAGGCTTATCTGATGGACAGTTATGTTGTAACAAGCTAGTGTGTGAATCTGTCCATAGTAGTCCGACCTTCACAAATTGTCCATGCAGGCCCTGCTGCTGTGCAGTGAAAGTTCTGAGGTGCACTTGGCTCTACATTATTTTCATAGCAGGGCGGCAGTGTCCACAGAGCCTGTTTGTGCATGGCAGGCTAGTGTGGGGTAGATTTGGATCTCAGTTTGCTGTGAGCTAAGTGTTTATAAGGACAAGCCCTAAGACAAAACAGGACATCAGCTCAAGTAAGGAAGGATGTTGAATGTTCATCAGGGATAAAATCAAGGTAGGAAGACTTTCTTGAAAAAAATTTCCTTTAAACCCCTTTTTAAAAGAAGGTATTTTTGCTCTGGTCCTAATACTACTACACTATGGTCTGTCACTGTGATGTGTGTTTTCCTGACTTCTCTTCTTCTACAGTGATTCTAGTTTTATGCTCCATTCATGGTCCTCCTGCTCCCACGTCTCTTTTAGCTGGTGTCCAGCATGAGACTACTGTTCCTCCTTTACGGGCTCCTAATGCATTACAAACCTGTTAAGTATACACAGGTATTATCTCGTTGCTCTTCCAGAATTATTTTGTATTCTTAGGTGTTTCTAATGCATTCCTCTCCTTAATAGCTAGAGCCTTTCCATTTTTCTGTAAACTCTCTCTTTCTCCCCTAGACCTGAAGGAATTGAACGGCAGTACAGGAAGAAGTGTGGGAAGTAAGTGTCAGCAGAGCAAAACGTCATTATAACATAAGACAAGGGTGGCTAGTAATTTTTGGTGGGGGGCTGCTCCCAAGATTTTGGAAAGTGGTCCAGGGCTGCATTTTTCTGTGGCTGAGATGTGGGGTCTAGGATGGAAGTTGGGTGCAGAAGGGCACATGGATAAGAGACAGGGGTGCAGGAGATGGTGTGAGGTCTGAGAAGGAATTTGGGTTTAGGAGGGGGTTGTGACCTGGGTCAGGGAGGGAGGATGGGTGCAAGAGAGGATTCTGGCTTAGGGGAGGGGTTTAGGAGGGGATACAGAGTACGGGAGGAAATTGTGACCTGGGGCAGAGGGTGCAGAGTTTGGTTAGTGACCTGGGGGGAGGGAAGAGGGGCTGGAGTGCCAGAAGCAGGCTTTGGCTGGGAGGCACTTACCTAAGTGTCTCCCGACCTGTAGCACCCCCAAGACAGGCTGGGCTCTCTGCCTCCTGCAGCCCCAGAGCGCTTAAAACTGCAGGCTCCTCCTTCCATGTGGCTCTCAGCTCCAGAAGGGGGGAGAGGCTTGCGCTGCCCTTGTCCGCCAGGTCAATCTCTCAGTTCCTATTGGCCAGCTGCTGCTTCCAGTCAATAGGAGCTGAGGAGTGGGCTGGGAGATTCCGCAAACCGAAACTCTCCCTCCCTCCAGAGCAGAGAGCCACATGGAGCCATCCTCCCTTGAGGGTCCTGGCAGGGTGGTCTGCGGGCCAGATCCAGTGGCTTGGCAGGCGAGATGTCCTCCCTTGAGGGTCCTGGCAGGATGGTTTGCGGGCCAGATCCAGTGGCTTGGCAGGCGAGATTCAGCCCACAAGATCTATCTTGCCCATCCCTGACATAATAGATGCTTGTCTTTTACTTTCCATTGGTTGTCAAACCCCCTTGGAAATAACATTTCTTCTCATAAGAGTGACTGCTAGAGAAAGGAGATTTTTAACTTGTGTGATGTGATAGGGGTATTGACATTTTATAACCCTGATACTAGTCTGGTAGCTGAGGCCAGAATGTAAAGACCAACCTTTTACCAATACTCCTATGTGAGGCAACGATATTATAACATGAGCTTTTGTTAAAATGCATATTTGTGCCACTTCAGTTGTTGACATTCTAATGTTTGGTCTATGATTTATTTTTACCCTTCTTGGACGACCAGTTATGTGAAAAAGAAGTTCCAGCTGGTCCAAGAAAGCTAAATTAGCTAGATGGTCACTTAGCTACATGCGGTATAGGGCTTGTTTTAAAGTCCATTTGGTAAATAAACTGCAACAAAGGCATCGAACATGAGACTAAGATCTGCACTCTTTTACCAGTAGATGTTACTTTTTTCAGGTGTGGACTTTTGCTCTTCTACCAGCACCAGCAGAAGAATGCCCCGGTTACTTTCATTGTGGATGGAGCTGTGGTCAAGTTTGGACAGGGTTTTGGGAAAACAAACATATACACTCAGAAACAAGAGCCTCCCAAAAAGGTAATTAGGCTTAGATGAGTTTCAAAGCTATTTTTCCCTTTCAAAAGGATATGGATGAACAAAATGACCTAACAGATCTTGGCTGTATCTACTAGAGTGCCTGGCCCATGGGACGTCTACTATTAATTTCTTTTGGTTGGCCTGAAATAGTGGTGTTGACTGCACTCAGTTTCTGCTAAGGAAGACTAATACTGAGTTTCTGAAACCAGAGGAGCGAGGAATAAAGATAAGGAGAGATCCCTGGCCCTGTTAGATCAGTGGCCTAAACAACCAAGATCCATTTGTAAACATCTCAGGCTCATCACTTGAATATTATCTTTTCTCCAGTTCTTGATATTAATTAAGCACATTGATTCCAAGAACTGGAACATCTAAGTTCCAGCAAATCCACGCAGTTAATTTTACAGTGCTTCACATAAAGGGCCTTACTTACCAGTACAGATTTACAGAACAAGTGTTCAAAGCTATGGAGTAAAGTTATTGGTGACACTAGTGTGCACTAAACTAAAGTAAAATGTTTTGTTCATTACCTAGGTGATGATGACCAAACGGACGAAGGACATGGGCAAGTTCAGTTCAGTCACAGTCTCCACTATTGACGAAGAGGAGGAAGAGATTGAAGCAGTGAGTTTTCGTTGCTAATGCCAGTGGGTTACCTGGGGATTTTGTTGGGACACCAAATCTAAGCTCTTCACTGTAACATCTGGTGACCTAAACTTTGCTGTGGCTAAAAAGATTCGTGCTGTAGGCATGGATCATCCTACTAGTTCTAGTGAGATGGCCATTTTAAATCTTCTAGGACAAGCTAACTAATGCTACTGAGTTACCATGTGGTAGCTGTCCTCTCAGCACTGTCTGCTTCTCTGCTCTGAGAGCTTTTTAGTTTATTTTTCCTTCTGCGCAACAGTTTGCGGGCAATTGTGACCTCATTTCTACCTCTCCTGTCTTGTCATTCTGCAGTCCTCATAGTTGAAATGAATGGGTGAGTCTCAAGTAGGGATGTTGGATGCCATCTAATGTAATAATTGTGTATCCACACCAAATATTAGCAGTTATACGATTATTCAGTAGTCCCTGGAGGTGGACTAGCAGCCAGTGCGCTCCCGGACCCACTCCTGGGGAGCCCCCAGCCATTCTGCACTGCTTCTTTTAATACAGAGGCAGCAGTGCGAGGTGGCAGCCTCTGTCCATGCAGGGCTTGAGCTCCCTGTGAACAGAGGCTATTCTGCCATCCCACGAACAGCCTCTGTTCTCTGCAAGCCCAAGCCCACTGCAGACAGAGGCTGCTCTGGCATTCCTCCTGCCCTCCCCCACCTTTGCACTGCTGCTTCTGTTACAGAGGCAGCAAGAGGGGGAGAGTGTGCATATCATTAGCATTAACCAATTAGCCCAGGTTTATCAGTTAATTGTTTACACAACTATAGGTAACATCCCTAATCCAAGTCAGATATACTCAGATAACCAGGTAATTAACATATTAAAACGTTTAGGTGACAGTCTCCTCATATGGTAGCATTTAATGGTCTGCCACCTGGTAACACAGCATCTTTTAGCCCTTATGATTGGCCCTGCACTGTGTCTGCTATAATCTGGTTCAGAGCACACACAACATGTCAACCTTGATTGATTTTGCTTGTGCTAGCCAGAACAGCATAGTGATGATTTAAGTTGGCCAGGGACTTGCGACAGTGATACTTTACTTCCTGTTCTAAGCTGCTGTTTTGATGCATTTTAAGCAGAGGGCATGCGACACCCTAGAAATGCATGCTGCATTTCAGTAGCAGGAAAAATTCTCACTTTAGAGTTTGCCTGTCTGAGCATTTTGAGATTTTTTGTGAGGAAAAAGCCACTGTAGAAATATACAGAAACATTATTGCACAATGGGGATGTTTACACAGGGGCAGGCGCCACACTAAGCTTAAGTAGTGCTCCCATTGTCACGAATATTATATTCTGCTGGAAATTGAATCTGCCTGTCTCATTTATCAGCTGACTCAGCCAGAACTGCACTGCTTCAGTGTATAACTCAGCAGCTTTGTATCTTTTACAGCGAGAGATTGCAGATTCCTATGCACAGAATGCAAAAGTGATTGAAAAGCAGCTAGAACGCAAAGGCATGAGCAAGAGGAGGCTGCAGGAACTGGTAAGTCTGTTTTGTTTTCAGTGCACTGTTGCTGCAACTGTATCTTTTATAGGGTGTCTAATATATAAAAGCACCAGAGTGAGGTTTACAGAATTCACATGATGTTTTGGAGGTGGGGGTTCTTAAACATAACATTTATTTATTATTTGTTTTTTCCCAATTTAAGTTAAAAATACAAATCGCTTAAAGAAAATCTACACCATTATTGCAGGTTCCCCCTCTCCCCAAGTTGTCTAACGCCATAAGGAGCTTACACATCGCCTTACCTTACCTCTCCTACCCATCCTTAGAGAAAACTGTACAGAGATTTTTCTCTAGTCCTTTACAACTGAAGGGCACAGAAAATTATTCATTGACCTATTCAAAAAGGATAGTTTGTAAGACATTGATGCAACCAGAGCAGCCTCTGGAGCCAGCTAACCCACGAATGGTCAGATTACAGCTAGGGGAAATTACCTCAAAACTTGAGCAACAGAAGGTGCCTTACACATTATTTCTCAGCCTTCTAACCCTGGGCTTTAGCGTAGACTACCCAAGGGAGCAAATTACAGAGAGGAGAGCCTGCCAATACGGTAGCTCTGGAAAGATTAACCTAGAAACCAACAGTAAGGACATCCCAGCTGATCTTAACTATGGCTACAGGCTTATATAGTCTGGTAAATCTTTTCCATCTCCAACTTCTATCTAGCTCACCTCCTTGGCAGTGCATGATATAAGGTGTGAAATTACCTCTTAAATAAATAATATGAAACCATTTGGGGCTGCAAAGATTGTAATCCACCTTCTGATTTGCACCCAGAAACAGAGGGTAGTGAAATGAAGAGACTTGAAGCATTTCGTTCTTTACCCAGATGACAAGTGGCTGCATGCTGCATTAGTAATGCTCAGCCCAGAAGATCATAACCTCAGAGTGCTGAAGAGAAAGCTACTTGTGATGTCTTGTGTAGTGTTTTCATTTTGTCCCAATTTTTCTAATCAGGCTGAGCTGGAAGCCAAGAAAGCCAAGATGAAAGGAACCCTGATAGATAATCAGTTTAAATAAGAGGAACCCCCATCAGATCATGCTCAGTCAGCTGAATATTTGGAGAGAGAAGAAAACCAACATCAGCTCCTGAGATTCCAACAGAGATTTCAGTCAGTTCTGCAGACCCTAAGTACTACTTTTAAGAATTCTGCATTGAAACCAGCTCGGAAGGTAACAGGGTAATAGCGGCTGTACTTTGATCTCTGGTGTTTTAATACACCGAAGGACTTGAAAGATTTTTTTAATTACATTTCTGTGCATCTCTAAGTGTCTTACCTCTAATAGCTGGACGTTTGGGGTAACAACTGTTCCAGGAGGAACATTCCACCAGATGCGTGCATGGATTTACTGCACCGTTACATAAGATCAGTGAGTTATTTTCAGGTGTACATAAATTCCAATAAATACTTTAGATGTGTAGGTAAAGCAATAATCTAACTGTACAGCAAATAAATCCTTACAAAGTAAGTTGTTTTCATATTCTTATTTTTTTTTAATTATTCAAATCATGCAGTATGTACAAAGGGAATTCTCACCTGCCCATGCTGGAATGGCAATAATCTATACAAATCTTCAACATGTTTGCTAACTGAAAATCTTCCCTGAACAGACAAGGTCCCATGATGCAACACAATTGGTCAGAAGCGTGTCTTTGTAAACTCCCAGCACTTTTGAAAACAAGCCATTTCGGACAATGGTTCCCAGCCTTTTTTATACCGCAGACCAGCAACCTCAAAACTTTTGGCGGACAGGTATAGAAACATTTGCATTATGGTAATAGAGTTATTTGCAAATTCATTATAACACAGGACTGCTTTAAATCAATTATTTTACAGTGCATCTGTACGCACACAATAAGGGAACCAGGGGAAGATGCAGAAGGGGGTGAGGAGCGCGAACGAAAGAGGGGACCAAGCTGGGGAGGGGCTGGGCTGAAAGTGGCAGGGCACTGAGACCAGCTCAC